AAAAAAAAACAAAAAAAAAAAAAAAAAAAAAAAAAAAAAAAAAAAAAAAAAACCTTTCCAAAAAAAGATGGCTGCCCCAGGTCTCCATCTCTGCACTCTCCCCATAGACCACCTGATGGCAGCCACTGGCCTTTGGACTTTCTAACAACCAGGATCATGAACTGTATAAACCTCAGTTCTGTTCTGTATACATCACCCAGTCTCAGGTATTTCTATAAGCAACTTCATAGTGGACTAAGACAGTTGCCCAAACTGACCCCTCCCGTATTCCTACGTTCTTAGAGATTCCATTGCCACACTCCTTTTCCCCTCCCTGAGTCAAACTCTCATTCCTTGTTTTCAAAGTTGCAGTCACCTGTTAACAATTTCCCTATCCACCCCAAACCTATTCACATTGATGGGAGAGCAATATTTCCTTAAAAACAATTCTGCAGATGTCAGCCTCCTGCTAAACAGCTTTTCCAGGAGGGTATTGCAGAGCAAGTCCTAACTCTTCCCTGTGACGGCGTGCCTCAAAACCTAGCCTCATCTTCTTTTTCTTTCCAGTCTCTTTCCAAAACATTCTCCCAGGTGCTGGACCAACAAACTCACCTGTTTCTCTAAAACCATCATTTCTGTCTCTTCTCAGAGACTCTGCTTCCGGAACCGAAAGTCAGACTTCCACTCTTCTTTCAAGCCACACTTCAAATGTCACTGCCTCTGGGAAGCCTTCCTCTTGCCTCAGGGAGGATGCCACACAACTTTGGACCTGCCACCATTAAAGAGCTTCTCACTTTTTCTTGTCATTCCTGTTTTTTCCTCCATTCAACTATGGGCACCTCAAGCTGGCAATGCGTTTTCCAAGAAACATTTGTTCAGCATCTTTTAAATGCCTTTTTCCATGTTTGCAGACAGATTTTCAATAAGCCAAACCAAAATCATGGGAAGTTTTAAAACAACTAAGCTTACCTGATAATTTTTAGATGTTAGCATTTTCAGAATAGTCACAACTCATACACTTCCAGAAGGAAGATAAATTGAAAGCAATTTTGGCAGTATTGTCAAAAGTCTTACAAATGTTCTTATCCTTGAAACTTACTAAGAAAGAAAACTGCATATATAGGAGGAAATCATGTCAGAACGCTAACATCAGTTGCCTCTGCATGAAGGACTCTGAATGATTTTTTTTCCCAGTTTTATATTTTACTTGTCTGTGATAAGCTCATATTACTTTGCTAATCAGAAGAAAATAAATTTTTAAAATTCATTTCTTTCAACCCAATAATTTCTCTCAAGTAAATAATTTTAAAAGGGGGGACCAGCAGATGGCATAATGGTTATGTCGCTGCACTCTCACATGGCCAATTGCAGTTTGAGTCCTGGACCCGGAGACTTTAAGCTGATGCTGGGCACGTGTGCATGTGTGCCCAAAATCCCAAAAGGAAAATGGAGGAGAAGGGATTGTAGCATGGCCATCCCCCCGCCGGGGGGGGGGTGATTTCTCTCTTTTTGTTTCCCTATCTCTCTCTTTCTGACAAGGGCACATGCCCTATAGCAAAAATCTCTCTCCAAAAGAAAAAAGGAGAAAATATATAGGTAAAGATATTCTCCAGACTATTATTAATAAAGGGAAAAACTGAAAAACAACGTAAACATTCAACAGTAGGAATTCCACACCATGAAAGATTATGTGATCATTTTCAAAAGATTTATCAAAAGTTTGAAATCATGGGGAAGACTATTTATGATACAAATTAAGTAAGAAAGGTTTAATGGAATTTTATGCTTTGTTATCTAGAATTTACTAAGTAAAACTATATATAAAAAAAAAAAGACTGAAAGTAAACAGATTCAAATGTTAACAGAGGTTCTGTTAAGTGTAACTTTTGGTTTACAAGCGGTATAGGGATAGAGAGATGAGTGAAGTGGCCCGAAGACACCATCAGTCTCCAATCACAGTCAATATAACCAATAGAAATACATGGGTCTGGACTGCTTTCTGGAGAAATTTGACTCTGTAATTAGTATCAAATGGAACTAGAGAATTACTAAATTTTCTTCGGCAAGATATGTTATATAATCATATGAGAGAGTGTCTATTTCTGTAGGCAATATAGGCTGAACTATGTAATAGTCTATAATTTATTATAATTTGTCCCTTCTACATATGTAGATTTAGATCTGTGTGCATATATATGAGGTAAAAATGGATAAAGTGGTCATGATTCTTTTTTTAACAATTATTATTTATTTAATTTTATTTATTCATTCATTTATTTTAATTTGACCAGAGAGAGAGAGAAGGAGGGAAAGGAAGAAAGGAAGCCGCCAGGTCTGGGGCTCGAACCGTGGTTGGCCATATGGGAGTGTCCAGC